CGTGTTGAGACTTGCGTGTCTCAGGAAGAAGCCTCAACTCCGGTGGATTAAGATTGGCCACTGGGGTATGTGCACTGCTCCTCTCATCACCAGTGGCCAGGTGGCTCTCGGGGTTCAGGCTTTGTATCTGGAATGCTCTGGCCTGAGCATCACAGGAACTGAAAGCTACAAGGGCCTTTATGGAGTTCGCCCAGGATTCCATGAATGAGGAAGAAAACAGGGCTTCCCGGGGTCCCCGGAACTGGCCCCACCCCATCCCAAGGTCAGCTCCTCCCAGTCAGACTCCTGGTCATTGACCTCCATGGTCCCCGCAGTGCTGCCTGGGGAGCAGCTTTGGGCCCTCCCACCCCCCTGTGCTCAGGTGCAGCTGGGAGCAGAGGGTGTCTGCGTCAGCCTTTCCTGCTGCAGCGGGGGTCTCCTGGCTCCCACAAGGAGCAGGAAGAGGATGTTTTCCCTGAGCGGAGCAGAGGCGCAAACAGCACGCTCAGAGCACCTGCCCAGGCCTCTTCCTCACCCGCTGCCCGGTCCCTGCCGCAGCTCTGAGGTGGCCTGAGGTTTGGGGTTGTGCAGGCCACTGCACCTGCCACTGGCCCTTTTGCAGGAATGGGGGCTGTAGGGCTGAGTAGAGGAATGTGTGAGCACGCATGTGCATATGTGTGCACATGTGTGCATACGTGTATGTGTCTGTATGTCTGAGATGTGTGTAAGCCTGTGCATCTGTGTCTTTGTGTGGATGTGAGGGATCATGTATATGTGTGTTCACGTCCCTGTAGTGAGTGGTGTGCGTGCTGTTTGTATGTGCATACATGTGCATCTATAGATCATGTATGTGTGTAGTTTGCATGGTTTGTATGTGTGAATGTTTGTTCAAAAATGCCACATGTGGTTACACATATCACCTGCATGCACGCACACCCTGTGGTCTGTCTGTTGTGTTTGTGCACGTGGTCAACGTGTGCGTGTGGCTGAGTGGCTGGACTGGCTTCAGGTTGCTCAGCTGTTTGTGACCTGGACCCCGCCCACCCAGCCGAGCGCTTCCCGGGTGCCATGGACCCCTTCCCCGCTGGAGTGGGGGTGAGGAAGAGTTGGTGCAAGGCTACCAAGAGCCCCAGAGATGGAGCCGAGGTGTCCATGAAGCCGTGCGCAGAGGAGCACTGGATTCCCAAAGTGGCTCCCGACAGGGAGACAGTTCCTTTTGCCCTGGCCGAGAGGAGGTGGGGAGCTGCCCCTGTGCTTTCACGGCCACCGTGCTGGTGTCCCTTTCAGGAATGTGACGCTCTCCCTGTGGCTGGGCAGGGCCTACTGTGGGTGCTCAGAAATCATTTACTGGCTGGTGCTGGTCTCTGGAGCTGCCTCCTGTGGGCCTTGTATCAGGCTTGTGCTAGCTGGGTTCCCCCTCGCAGTGCCCCGGAGGCAAGGCCTGGATGCACACCATGCCCCGTGTGCATGTCTCGGGTTGGGGCTGGATGTGGCTCCACAGCACCAGCATCACTGCAGGCTGTGTCCAGGGTGTGTGACCCCTTGGCCAGCACTCTCTTAATGAGGGTTAATGACATTAATTATTACTGTCCGCTTCAAAGGTACTGGGCTTCTTTGCCGTGTTGAGGAGCTGGGTTCACTGCCTGCGCAAGGGGACAGGTGTCTGACAGAAAAACCAGTGTGTGTAGGAGGAGCCTCCTCCTCCCTAGGCCATGGGCCCTGACCTCCTGCAGCCCAGCATGAGAAGTGCCCCCACTGACCTCGATAAGGTGGCACACTCTCGTGTGCCAGGGACCTTATACACATGAAGAGCTAACAAATCAGACAGGTCTGCACTTCATCACAGTCTAAAATTCTAAGCCCCGGGCAGGTCCAGGCACTGAACGGATCTGGCCTCACCTGTGCATTTGCATGATCATCTCTTTTATCAATGTCTCCCCCACCAACGAGGCTGCAAAGCTGATCACTTGTGCAACCCCAACCTGGCAGGTGTCTGGCACCCAGAAGGTGCCCACTGAAAGGCCTGGAGAAGGAACCAAAGACAGCAGGGCTGCAGCTGGATTCTAGGGAACCGGCATCGCCAGGGCCTGCTTCCCTGGCAGAGGGAAGCACATTGGACCAAGACCCTTTGGTTTTCCCAAATTGCAGCACTGGGGAACAGTCCCCAAAGCAAATTCTTTAGCACTCAGGTTTTTAGACTTGCTCTGTCTGAACTGAGGTGTTTGTTGAAGCCCCAAAGATCTCATGAGCGTTTTTTTTAAGGAACAGTGTGACATCAGGCAGTGTGATGTGACATCGGGACCTGCTTATTCCTAAGTACAGGCTGAGTGTGCAGCCATTGAGGCCACATTCCACTTTAATCAGATTCCATTCCATGGAACACTCTCTTAATGAGGGTTAATGTCATTAATTATTTCTGTCCCCTTCATTTAAGAACATGCTCAAGAGGAGCTAATTGCCACCTGATGGCCCAGGGATAGCTCAGGCCCAGCAGAACTTCAGGAAAGAGCATGTCCCTTCATTCCACCTCCCCCCTGCACCCAGGCACTTGTCTTGGTTCCTCTGCACAGGGGGGCTGGCCAGTCCCCAGCTCCACCACGGTGAGAAACGGGGGTTCCTGTGTACCATGGCTTGCCCCTCCGGGTAGGGTGGGGTCTTAACATGGACCTCTGGCTGGTTCACCAGCAGGTTCTCCTGCTCCGTGAGGATGATGGGACAGGTGCGCCCCACAGGATGTGAGCAACACACTTCTTCTCCGCTCACCCTGCTAGAATTCAGATGAAAAACACATAAGTGATTTGGCTCAGTGATTTCTCTTCGAGGATACATCCTACGGAGATGCTTTTGCACTCACCATGATGGATGTTGAAGGGCCTTGCAGCATGGACGGAATGGCAACAGGGTGGAAATAGTCTACGTCTTTGCCTGAGAGTGTAGGGTGCCAAGCAGGGAATAGAATGAGACCCATCTGAATGTGCTGAGATGAAACAACATTCAAGATAAATTATTCAAAAGAGAGCGGGGACAGAGCAGTACATGCGGCAAGTTGCCATTTGTGTAAGAAATGGCATGTCCATGTGGCCAAGCAGGAGGCTGAGTGGAACTCTGGGTGTCGGGCTCCTATGTAGTTCTCTGTGATGACAGGGCTCCCATCTGTGGGGGGGCACCCAGCAGTGTGTACCTGTAGCAGCGGGAGGATGCAAGGTCATGCTGATGTTCTCCAAGGTTCAGACAGGGCTCAGGCCCACATGGCACCAGAGTGCAAGCCCAACACTGGGAAGGGCTGGAGGTGGCTGTGAAATCACACGCGGGCGGGAGCTTGCTGGGAAAGGCAGCGGGCTCCCTGCGAGGCCATAAGGCCCTCCTTACCAGTTTCCAAGACTCACCTCGCTCCAAAGCTGCGTGTCCAGTCAGCAGTCCACTGGCCACATGTGTCTATGTAACTAAACTGACATTAGACCAAGTTAGGATCCAGCCCCGTGGGGCACCAGTCATGTTGCACCAGTCATTGCCACGTTTGGCTGCTGGCTGGTCCTGCTAGGAGGGCACAGCACCAGAGAGTGTCCACCAACACGCAAGTCCCCTGGAGGGTGCTCAGAAGCAGGGGCCCCCCAGTGCATTTGTACCCTTTAATTACTATTCATTAAACTTTCCCAAGGCAGATTTGTATGGGTTCTGGAAAAGTGTTGCTTAAGTCCAAGTTCAATGGTATTTTAAAAAATTGTTTCTTTTCACCTAATTTTCATTTCTTTGCAGTGAAATGATGATGAACATCAGACCCCAGGGCTTTAAGTTCTCTTTTTGGGTCACAAGCAAAGGTCTTCTTCCCAGGATGAGTGGTGGGCACTGGGTGGAGCCACCCTGGAGACTGTTTGCCATCTCTGAGGCCAGTGGGTGGCCACCTGCCCCTCAGGTCTGAAGTGGGCGGAAGGAGGTCAGTCTGCAGAAGCTGGGGGTCAGTTTGGTAAGGGAAGGCAGAGTGTGGAAGGGCCCCCAAGGTAGTGGTTCTCAGGAGGATGGACTCGGGCTGTGTAGGACCACCACACAGTTTGTTTGTGTGCAGATCCAAACAACCACAGATTGAAAATATTTGGTAAAAAATTGCATTTGAACATCTGTGGACTTCCTCTTGTCATTTTTCTCTATAAGCAATACAGCGTGCCAGCTATTTGCAGAGCATTTACATTTTATTAGGTGTTTTATGTAATTTTGAGATGATTTAAAGTCTACACGGGGATTTATACAGGCTATATGCAAATACTGCCCCACTTTATTGAAGGAACTTTTGAATGCTTGGATTTTGGTATCCTTTGGGGGAGGAGGGTGGGTTCCTTGAACCAGTGCCTGTGGGTACTAAGGGGCAGCTGTACTTTCTGGTGAGCACAGACTGTGTCCAGGGCACATGGACCAGTGACCGTCTCTGTGGGTCCTCATTTGTGTGGCCTGTTGTCATAGCAAGGCACACGCTGGAGTTCTGACAGGAGGACACCTGGAAATGGCTGGTCTTTGGGGCTTGTGAGCAGAGCTGCTGGTCCTGGGAGAGCCTGGAGACAGAGCCCGCCTGTGGAGTGGCCTTGCCCTACCCAGGCCCTGGGTCCCGTGGCCTCCGGAGGTCCCATGTGAGCACTCCCCACCAGCCAGCCTTCAGATGAAGCCATCCCGTGGCCTCTGTTTTCCAACAGTTCAGGAGCTGGTTACTTGTGATCTTCCACCAAATAATATTTTCTGTTCTTAGAAAATTCACATTTTTTTGAATCCTTACTTTTTTACCCTTTAATATTTTTCTTATCTACCATTTTGAATCTCTTCACTTGGGCTTCCTCGTCTCCATTTACACAGTGTGGTTTCCATCCTCTGTTGGGCCTGCTAACACCTGAGGCTTCCACAGCACCCCAGGCGGCTGCCGGGGCAGGGCCTGGCCCTCCCATGGCTCCTCTTCAGAGCAGGAGGTGGAAACATTTGCTAGAGGGGTGTTCAGCAACCACAGCTCTGACTTTATTCCATTACATAAAACACATCACTAGAGCAAATAATTAATTTATTGAAATACATGAAAGACAATGCGCAACGTCAGTGGGCTAATCAACAGCCAGCTTACCACATGTCCTCGTGGCGTTCCCGCCTGTCCCATGAGAACATTCTCTACAAACTCAACACCGGTGCTGGTGAGTATCCAGCTTGGACAGAGTGTGCAGAACGTGAGGCGAGGATTTCACCTCTAGACAAACTTCACGCAGATTAAGAAAATCCTGGGCATGGTGGCCCTGGTCCCCAACGAGGGCTGTCACTCACACTCACAGGCCAGGCTGGGCAGATGCCACTCCTTGGGGCGTCTTCAGTGGGTAGTGTGAGCCTCCTCCTGGGAGCCCGGGGGCTGTCACTGTCCCAAGGAGACTCGAGGATGGCTCTTCAGAGAGGCGTTACTTATTTTTCTTCCTCTCCTTTTCCTCCTTCTTCTTCCCCTTCTCCGTCTCCTTTTCTCTGCCACCGACCCTTAAGGATAAGACGCGCTTTCTGCCCAGAGGGGTCTTGGCGTACCAGTTCTGAAATGAAACGGAAACTTCGTAAACGCCCAGGAAAAGACCAGCAGGACACGAACCCGCCAAACAGTCTTAAAACCAAAGACGAGCTTGCTAGGAACGAAGCAGCAAGTCGCCATTTTACTTTGGGCATTTAACGTCTTTGACACAAACTTCTCTCCCTGGGCTTTCTCGTCTGCATTTCTGTATGATCCGAAACTCGTACCCGAGGAATTCCCAGTTTCCGAGAAGTGCGGACTAAACGTAAGCAACAGTACTTTCCAGGTAAGTCCCGCGCTTCCCTGGAATGTTACTGTGCCCTGAGGATGTGGGTCTTCTTGGAAATGTGAATTGGCCCTGGTTCATGTGTGACCACTGTAATCTGGCCACATGTGAGCACAGTGGGCACTCACATGCTCTGAGGGGGCTCTGTGGAAAACGGGGCAGAAATAATGGAGTCAAGATACCAACAAAGCACTTAGTGATTGCCACTGGCCCTGTTTAGATTGCATTTGGAACCTGAGAAACATTTTGGTTGATAAACATTACAATAATATTATTTCATGAATGATTATATCACCCATCAACTCTCCTGTTAGTGGACATGTAAGTCATTTTTCTTTTTTGTGAACAGTGCTATAGTTCACAATTTTTACGTGCCTCTTCGTATACCTGTGAGACGTATCTCGGGCATACGCTTTGGAATAGAATTTCTGGGTTACAGGAAACAAACACCTTCATTATAGCCAAATTGTTCTCTGAAGTGCCGTGAGTGGGAACTGATCTCTGCCATTTGTCTTAAATTGACTTTGTTTTCTCCTGCCTCTGGTTTAGCTGGGTACAAATATTAGGTAGCTGACTATTCTCATCGCTTTGCAGGTATAATTTCACTGTCTTTGGCATTTACTGCTGTCAAAGAGATGTCTGATTGACCAATTGCTGTTTCTTTGTAAGTAATCATGTAGCTTTTGAGACTGGTTTGTTATCTTGTTCTTAAATTCTCAATCATGGATACTGGCAGGGATTTTTAAAATTACTCCTTGGAATTTATTTTTAATCTGAGAACTCAGGTTTTTAATTCAGGAAAATTCTCAGCATGTATTTCTTTAATTCTTCTGATATAATTCTTCTGATATTTCTTATATTCCTTTCTCCTAGAATTTGTATTTGCTGAATGTTGATGTCTTTCAACATGTCATCTGTAGATTTACTTTTATGGATTCTTACCTTTTGGTTTTTCTGTGTTGCCTTCTCGGGGAACTCCCCAGGACTACCTTCCAGACTACTAATTTACTCTTTGACCGTGTCTATTCTAGGCATCATACTGATCTCATTTTTACCACTTAGTATTAACTACTGTATCTTTCATCTTATATAATTTCTCTTTGTGGCTTTTTTTCATCTTATCTCTTCTCATTCAATTTATATCTTTGTTTCAAAACTGTGTATATTCCTAGTGAAAGTCAGTTTTTTACTTATTTTCTTGAACATCTTAACCATATTTATTTAAACGATTTTGTCAGATTGTTCTTAACACTAGATGGTTAACACAGATTCTAACTAGTGGTTAGAATTCTAACTTTGGTTAACAATAGATTTCCAAAGATATTTTAAGATTTTGATTTTCAGGATCATTTTGAGTGGGATGCTTTGCTTGGCTTCTCTCTTTCCTTATTCTTGCCTCCCTAGCAGTTTTGCAATTGCTTCTACAAGGCCCTTACAGCCCAATACAGAACTAGGTTTTGTATTGCTATTTTGAAGTTTATTCTCCTTGGTGATGCTGGGGAATCAAAAAAGCAACATGTATTCCCATGTCACAGTCTCCAGTTATTAAAGTACAGCTTCTCTGTATTTTAATGGTCTTTTTTTTTCCCTCTCTGCTGCATCCTAGGCAAATTCCTCTTGCTCCCCTTTCCAGTTCCTTTAGTTTCTCTTTAGCTGTATCAGATAACCCCTTCATTGACCTTTTATATTTTTTGACTATCAGACTTCTATTGGGTTCTTTTTCAAGTATGTCTATCCTCTTCCCCCATAATATTTCTGGTCTTTAATAATTTAAAAATACTTAACATATATTCTCTTTCAGAATGTTCTAGTATCTTGCTTTCTTGGAAGTGCTAATTCTGTTATTTGTATCTGCTGACTCTCCTCATGGTGTGTTATTTCCTTGTTTTTTTTTTTTTAAATTTCCATAGTTTTTTAAAATTATGAGATTTCTTTAACAAGGGTAATATTTCCTAAAGAAATCAAATGTTCCTTAACTTGGATAAGTTTCCATACAGAGTGTTTTTCATATTTGCTTTTGATGTGACTTTGGGGGTATGAATGATATGTTACATTTCAACATGGGATTCTGGCACCGAGGAGGTTGTGTAAACATGGAAGCTGATGTGCAAGGTATGAGCAGAGTCTGACTTTGTATGGAACGCCTCCGTTCCTCTTGTACAGCTCCGAGAAGGTCACAAGGCCCGTGATGCTGCCTCCCGAGTGGCCCAGTGTTGTGCTCTTCCTGCTTTCTGATGACCTGGTCTGAGGACCATTGTATTTGTGTCTTAGGCTCCCCGGGCCACCAGTGCGTTAGCTCATGTGGTTGTTCTTGTCTTTGAAATTTATCCTTATTTCTAGCACCTGGGGATTCCCTCCTCCTTCTTTTAGCCGTGGCTCTGTTTTTATAATAAGGTGAGGTGGCCAAGCATGTAAAGTGATGAGCTCTTAATTTATAGACACACAGGATAAAATATAGTTACTAAAATTGGCTTTGGAGGAAGGCATTAATTTTAGCGTTGCTACTCTTGTGCTGTGTGACTTATAACAAGTTACTTTGCTTCTTGCATTTTTTTTCTTTTTATCGATGCTGTAGCAAATAACCCAAAATTAGTGGCTTAAAATAACACATTTAGGTCAGAGGTCTGAAATGGCTCTCACATCGCTACAATTGAGATGCCCCAGAGCTGTGCCCCTTCATGGATGCTCGGGGTGAGAACCTGATCTCCTGCTTTCTGGAGCTTCCAGAGACCATCTGTTCTGGCCTGTGGTTCCCCTCCATCTGCAGGGTAGCAACTTGGGCTACTTGGAGTAGCCATGAGTCTCTCCCAAGCTGTGCCCTCTCTGGGACTCTCTTCTCAGTCCCTCGTCCACTTTCACAATCCCATCGGACTCTCAAGCTAATTCTCGACAATCTGTTTGTCCTAAGGTCAGCTGGCTGGCAAACTGGCTTCCCCTCTGCCAGGTCAAGGAGCACATTCACAGGCTCCGGGGTCAGGACGCAGCTGTCCCCAAGGGGTCTTTATTCTGCCTCCCACAGAATAATGGCTCCTTCCTTGCAAACCAGGGCTCTGCCACGGAGCAGCAGTCGATATGTAACGGAGAACGTTACGGTGATTCTATCATCATTAGCCATCAGAGTTTTCCCCATCATGTTCATGGAACAGGGCTGAATGTGCCGGAGAAGATGCGAGATCTCAGTCTGAGACATTCTCAGAGCACAATTCAGTAAACTGGCCCAGGGCAAACAGCCATGAGCAGCCACAGCGGAGCACCACGTCATCCAGGAGAGCCACAGTGACATTCCACCTGTCCCTTTGCTCAACGAAGGTGTCACTAACGAACTTACTGAGTACCAACCCCAGGCCAGGCACTGTGCCTGGTGCCACATGGAAGGGGGAGTGGGTTGGGAGTATAGAGTCACCACGGCTCCTTAAAAAGTCCACCAGAAATGGGTGTGAGAAGCACACACATTGTCATCCAGGTTGTGAAGTGTGACGTTCCCTTTTCTTGAGCAGCACGGTCAGCCTCAAACACGTGTCACAGAAAACCAGCCCTGGGCTTCAACACCCTAAACCCAACTTCTCAAAATAAGGAAAAATCAGTACTTTAGAAAGGAGAGAAAAGTGCAGTGTTTCAGAAAAGAATCTATCATTAGAAGAGGGTAAATATTAGCAATTAATGTGAACAAAATTCAAACAGTTCAATTAAACAATGCTAACTCAAGCAGTTCAGTAACAGAGTGTCAATTCAGATGCTTGGCCAACACTCAGATGGAACTAAAAATGTCCCTTTTAGTTTGGCTGGCGCTGGGGCTGGAGAAACAGGGTTTGTTGTCTGTTTTTGCAGATAAAGTCTTATTGGACCCCAGCCCTGCCCACCACTCACTGCTGCACCCTGACACAGAGTTGAAGAGCTGCCCAGAGGCTGTGTGGCTCTCAGGACCAGAGGTGTTCAGTATCCGGACCTTACAGAGGAAGCTCCCCAACCCCACGCTGGGCCCTCCCTGTGGGGGTCACTACTGCGATGACTTCTCACCTTCCACTTCAGCCCTGGGACAGGCCAGGAGGGAGGCTGTGTCCGTCCTCACCATAAGCGAGCTCCCAGAGGGGGAGGCTTGGATGGGGACTTCAACTCTCCCTTTGGTGACAGTGTGCCCAAGATTGTGGTGACCTTCAATTCCATGGATAAGATTTTCCTCTTTTGTCTTCCCAGTTGGCCAAGGAGACTACCTCAGGGACAGAAAGGGGACACAACTGTGTTCATTTTGAGGTAGAATGGAGCCAGCGGTGTGGGAGGAGTGGCCCTGGTGACAGGGACAAGGCTACCTTGTTTGTGTCTTGGGCCACTTCACGAAGGACAAGTCCTAAGACAGACTGTCCGAAATCTGTGTCCCTCTTGGAAGAGGAGTTGGAACAGACATCTCAAACTTTCCTCCAGATCTAAAGAATGTGGTGACCATGTCAGAATGTGATCAAAAATTTGGATACTAAATTTTGCTGAGTTCCCTTGTGGTTTCCTACGTCAAGTACACTGAAAACTGAAGTGTGCCACGGCAAGTATGTGGCCGAACAACTTCAACTTGAAACATGCTATTTAGGGACAGTTTTCCCCATGCAAAACTTATTCCATAATATGAAGTAAAATGTGAGAAACAAGATAAGGGCATGTGTGTGTGTGTGTGTGTGTGTGTGTGTGTGTGTGAGAGAGAGAGAGAGAGAGAGAGAGAGAGAGAGAGAGAGAGAGAGAGAATCCTTTGAAGCTGCGATTTGGCTGTTAATTCACAAGGTCACAGAGCATGTTTTTCCTAAAATTTGGAAGATACCTGCTTTATTACTAAGACTCAAAAGATTCTGTGATCCCAAAATGTCACATTTCCAAATTTCAATGTATGTGGCAGAGTTCAGGTTCGTGGACTTGCAAGCCAGAGGGAGGAGGTCATGTGGCCAGTGTCCGCCCACCTCTGGCTGTTGGTGCTGCTTACCTTAAAGCACTCTTCTTCTTCTTTGTACACTGGGTTCATGCCGGCTATCAACGGGATGAACTCCGCTGGGGTGAGTGGCTTTTGAGTCTGCTGCCGGATTCTCCGGTCCGTGAGCACACCTTTAACCACTTTGACTATGTTTCCTTGGGTGAAGCCGTCGGTGACCTTTGCTAAGCAGCTGATGTTCAAGGCCTTGGTGAGGACTCCACCGTTGCGCTGAATGATTTGTTTCCACAAAACTGTTGCATCAAAGATGGTGGGAAAGACACAGAGAACAAGCGTTACCACAGAGCAAGCAGCGCTAGCCCAGCTCTCCACAAACTTCATCTTGTCTGAAAGGACACACGGGGGCCAACTCCCACGTACAAGTCATTCAAATGAGCAGATGACTGCACATTGTCCTCTGGGGACTCTTCCCCCACAGGACCTGGAGGTCTATAGATCACACGTCCCTTGCAAATAGACAAGGAAGAGTTAACCGGTACAGTTGAATGCAACCCATACAGATGCTGAAGAGCTTTCAGAACTGGAAATTTGTGTGAGGAATAAGTGGCATCTCTGCTCATCAGATTATTATATTTTCCCAAGCATTTGGATAAGGAGTTTAACATTTCTTTTTTTTTAGTTATAAAGTTCATTTCTTATATTATTCGCACAACTGGAATTAGAAGTCACATTATGATTTTCTCTAGCTACTGCAAGGCTCTGGGTAATATTACACATTGGGTTAGGTGGAGCACTGTGACCTGTTCTCTCCCCCTGTATATATAGGTTGGTTGATTGACAGTGCCTGGGTGGGTGGGACCGGGGTAAAGAAGAGATTTCCCTCAGAGCACAGGAGGTTGTGCAAATGAAATAAGTTTGATGCTTACTTTAGAGATTGAACAAACTCAGTGCAACATTTAAACTAACATTACATTTGGAGAACTATGTCCATTCTGTTGAGACAGCACAGGGAAGGGACCGAGGACAGGTGAGGGCACACACGGGCTGTCTGTCTCAGAACCAGGACAACCTGGTCACACATTTCTAAAGCATTTTGACCTTCTCTGAGGTGTGTGGAAACATTTTTTTTTTTAATGACTGTTACTGTACAATCTGGCCATCGCCAGACATGGTGAAGGGTCAGTTCTGCATTTGTTCAATGATCCCACCGTCCACATCCACTGAGCTGAAGACAGATGGTGAAAGGCAAAGGTGCACCGGTCACTGTAAAGGAAGGGACCCGGGAGCCACTTCAGAGAGTACTGCTTTGGGAGCTGAGTGATCCCGCAATTCGCCTCCACTGTCCTCTTTGGTGGGGTCCTTTGGGGGGAGCTGATTTGCTGGTAAAGGCCAGTGTCCCCGGGGTCCTGCCTGTTTCTCCAAGGCATCAAGGGTTTGGAGCCCTGCAGTGAGGCCAACAAGGGCCCTCGGGATCCCCATGTTGGCTGGAATCATCAGCCAGTCCTGAGCTGCTCTGCTCCTCAGCCTTGGTGGGACGCAGCCACGGCAGTGTGTGGGCTGCCCGACGGCGCTGACCGTGGGCCCCATTCTTAGCTGCGTGAGTGCTGCTGCCACGGTGACTGCTGGTCACTGTGCCTTGCACGAGTGCTTCCCGCCCTCACTAAAACATCAGTTATAAACACAGCACAAAAGGAGCTACGGAATGCTTCAAGGCACATTTGTTTAAAGACAGACTATAGCAGGCAAGGGTAATCCCCATCTAATTATGATCGCCACAGAGTTAGAAAATATAACCTAGGGTAAAAATGGAAACACCAATAACAACTGGGGACACCATGAGATGGAACGTCTTCTGCCCAAACTCATCATCTACAGGGGACCAGCACGTCTGAGAGCTGACTCCGGAGGGCACGAGTGTCCTGGGAAGCACAGCTGGAGCCGCTGAAGCCCAAGTAGACACCTGTGGCGGACACTCAGGATGGTGGTAGCCCTGCCGGGCAGGGACAGCCTTCCTGCCTGTGGCTTGAAGTGGAACCATCAGGGGACAGATGGGGAGGGCCAGGTGACCTTGCAATAGACACCTGACTCAGTCCCCTGCTGCCTTGTAGACTGGCAATAGTCACATCCCTGGAAGTGCCTGCCCAAGTCATGCCACTGTCCAACATGAGCAATCTCTGCACGTGAGGGTCACTAGCAATGGAACGCAGCCCTCTGGGGCAGCGTGCACGTGTGGACACACCACTCACCATTTACAACGGGCGATGCTTGGTGTTCGTGTAGTTTGGCCAGTGTTTCTGGACAGACTCGTTTCATTGATGACTCTCCAGAGATTGTGGGTGTGGAGTGGAGGTGCAGTCACAGCTGGCCCACGGGTCCCTACCTATCGCATGGCCGAGAGTGGGCCAAGGGCCGGGCTTCACTTCCTTCTCGTGCTGGACTGATTTGATGGTTACCTTTTAAAGAGTTGCGTGTATGGCTTTTCAAAGCCACGTGCCCAGGCTCTTGACAGCAGCTGCTCTGGGGTCAGCATGGAGTGAGGCTCGGAGTGGAAGGCTTGGTTGGCACAGGAGCCCAGGGTGCAGAAGTGTGGGAACCAGGGGCCACAGGTCCGCTCAGGAGTGCAGGTGGGGAACGCCCAGGCACAGTCCCAGACCCACAGTGAGTGTGTGGGTCAGGCCCAGGCCAAGGCTGGGCACTGCTGACACTGTGGGGGCCTTTGGGTGGAGGGCTGAGTTCCACTTCCTCTCCTGGAGGCAAGGGATCTCTCAGTTCTTCAGATCAATCTACATTCTCTTTCCCTTCTTTAACTGAAATGAGTCTGGTCTTTGGCTTCTCCCATCTGCTTCTGACGTCCCAGTGGATTCCACGCTGGCTGCCGCTCCACCGGACACAGTATCTTAAAGTTCATTTAATGTGAGATCTCACAAAAGTAGGAGAAATGAATGATGAATGACATGACTTGGACAAACCCCTGACCCTCTGAAGCCTCAAATCCCAGAAGACACAGACTGGACTCATCCCATCGGACACTGGGCCGGGTGGGGTCCATGAGGAATTGGGCAATTAGACAGACAGACCCCTGGGGAGGGACCAGAGGAGAGAAGCATTAGGGACGTGGAGGGGGCAGGCCAGAGGGAGTTCTGGGGAGCAGACAAGGCATTCATCAACTTGGGAGGTGGGTTATCTTTGCAGAGACAGCTTGACCTGGGGAAGGAGGTAGACACTGAATCATAACTGGCGAACCTTAAGGACCGAGGGACTCAGGCTGGCCTGGCCCTCGGCATTGTCACTCCCTGCCAACAGCCTGCAGGAATTTGACAAGTGGGAGGGCGAGTGTTTCCATGCACCTCGGGAGCTCTGCTGTGGGCAGACAGATGGCCGGGCGATGGCCCAGTTATGGATCTGCAGTCCATGCTTGATGGGTGGGAGGAGACACTTCTGGTCCCTGCTGTGGCAGGGACCGTCCTTCTTTAAGACGAATGTCCCCGCCGTTGCGGCTGTGAAAGCGTCAAGGCTCTGGAGGAAACGCTGGTCGGTGCTCAGGATGCAGCAATAATGGTAGCTTGAACAGATCACCCACCAGGAAGAAATACGTGGCAGGCAGGTGGCTTGGTGGACAGCTCTGCGCCCAGGAGCAGAGCTGCAGGTCTGTCCCCTGCCTCCTCCCGCGAGGACGCCGTGAGGAGGTCCAGGTGGGAATCTGCAATGCCCTCTGCATCTTGGAGACACCTGATCTTTCATCAAAAGGACAAAGTCGCCCGTGCAACATCAATAGCTTCATTTTAGGGCCCGTGGGTCTGTCAAACAATGGGACCCTTCAATCCAGTCAAGAGTAATGTTCTGGCCCCTTCGAATTAATGACACCGACGTTACTTCATCAAACACATAAAACATGGGCCCCAGAAACAAAACAGAGGAGAGGAGGCCGAGGGGAGGGCAGGAGGCTCTGCAGAGGCAGGAGCACAGCCCGTGGCGTCCTGCCAAGGCCCTGGGCGGTGGGGTCTGGGACTCCTCCTGGCCAGGGTGGTGTGGGCTGGCCCTGCGGGTCCAGTCCCTGGGGCCTCCTGTGACATCCTCTGAGCCACCGTCCCTCTTTCCTCCTGACACTGGCAGGATGCAAGGGATCCCATGGGGCCCCGGGTGGCCCTGTGAGATGGAGAAGCCACCTAGGAATGAGAAGCCACCAAGGGATGGGGAAGCCACCTAGGGATGGGGAAGCCACCTAGGGATGGGGAAGCCACCTAGGGATGGGGAAGCCACCTAGGGATGGAGAAGCCACATGAGGGATGGAGAAGCCACCTGAGGGATGGAGAAGCCACCTAGGAATGAGAAGCCACCTAGGGATGGGGAAGCCACCTAGGGATGGAGAAGCCACATGAGGGATGGGGAAGCCACCTAGGGATGGGGAAGCCACCTAGGGATGGAGAAGCCACCTAGGGATGGAGAAGCCACATGAGGGATGGAGAAGCCACCTAGGAATGAGAAGCCACCTAGGGATGGGGAAGCCACCTAGGGATGGGGAAGCCACCTAGGGATGGGGAAGCCACCTAGGGATGGAGAAGCCACATGAGGGATGGAGAAGCCACCTAGGAATGAGAAGCCACCTAGGGATGGGGAAGCCACCTAGGGATGGGGAAGCCACCTGAGGGATGGGGAAGCCACCTAGGGATGGGGAAGCCACCTGAGGGATGGGGAAGCCACCTAGGGATGGAGAAGCCACTGAAGGATGATAAGTGACAGGCCCTGGGTCCTCCTGCCCTTGGGATGAGACTGGTTGATGAAGACAGATCTCCCCTTATGAAGGGAGAAAGAAGCCCCTGCTGCCAACAGAGTGGCCATGGCTAGTGAGTATCCATGTGGGGCGCCCGGGCTGCCCTTGTGTCTTCTTAGTGGTTCACACTGATCACACAGAACAGTGGTTCCATCACAGAGTGCTCACACGCCACAGCGTGGGTGATTGGTGTCACTCCCCGGTCCCTCCCCTGGCCTCTCTCTCTCCCTCCCCTGTCCCCTTCCTCTGCACTCATGGTCTCCTTTCTACATTCATGATGACCCACCATTTTCAAGGAGTGTTCTTTAGTGAAGAAAATTGGCCAGGAACTCAAGAACAAGCAGATGAGGACACATGTGTCCCTTGTTTGGGTGGTGACTGGCGAGGGTTAGTAAAAGCCGGGTCTCACCTAATCGGCTGCATGGCTGCCCCCTGATGCTCCCCACTGCTGCATGCCTACCTCCACCAACTTCCCAGTGTCACCCCACACTGCCACCACTGCCACCACCCTCCTAACACCACCGCCACTGGACTGCCATCATCTCCACAACCACTGCTCCCAGCTCCCCAAGTGTCACCCATGCTGGGCCGTCACTGTTACCACCTGTGTAGTGGGGCCACCGTCGGCTCCTCATCTCCACCCTTCTAACGCCGACCACCATCCCCATCCCCATCCCAGTCCCCTCGCCACTCCTCCATCTGCTGAGAGCCACACCCACGGTCTTCACACTCTGCATCTCCCATTGTCCTTAAGTCTGGTGGTCCTGGACTTCCTTGACCGGCCCCCACGTGGCGATGGTGACTCTGTGACTTCTGAGGCTGGTCACAGGAAGCCTTCCAGCTATTGCCTGGAGCTGCTCCCTCCTAGAGCTGAGCTGTTGAGCTGCAGGAAGGGGCCACGTAGGCTCTCTGGTCCACAGCCCTGCTGGGCTCCCCTGATGGCCAGCGCCACTCCAGGCACATGAGGGAACAGTCTCAGATGTCCAGCCCTGCGCAGCCTTCTAATAACTGGAGTCCTAGCTGCCATCTGCCTCCAATAGGTGAGATCCCCATGGCGAACGCCCGGAGGAGACCAGTCCACCCCCGATGCACAAGGGGGACCATCCGCTGCTTTAAGCCAGTGGGCAGGTTGTCATGAAGCAGCAGGTGGCAGATGTGACCACTAGTTACATTGCCAGCTCCCTCTTGCCACTGACCACCCTGTTTTCCATCCCTCCCTCCTACACTGCTGCCACCAATGCCCAGGACCTCCTGGGAGCTGACCTGGGGCCAAGTGTCCCCCTGCCAGCAGTCTAGGTGAGAGGCACAAGAGCCTGAGAAGTGGACAGGTCTGCACAGATGGCAGCAGGGAGGTCAGCTGCCCTGTCAGGGTCGCCCGGCTGCTGAGTGTCAGCTGGGATTCTGAGCAGGGCTCCTGGGAGCCTGGACCCCTGACTCTTCCCACTGCTACCACACTGCCCCCCGGGGCTGCGTGGATGGTCAGCGGTTCTGAGGTGGCATCCTGGCCCCACACACCTGCCCGCCAGCCCCGCAGCCCACCTGGGAACCACATGTGGAAGGGGCTCAGGATACTTGCCATATCTGGAGGCATAGTCTGGTCTGGGAACCAAAATAATTTTTTGGTAGGCTCTGCAGAAAGACTGAAGTTCAGCATCGAATGGACGCTGTGTGGTCCCCACGATCAGGATCCTGTCGTCCGGTTTCAGGAGCTTCAGGATTTTGGGTAGTTGTTTTTTCAGGCGTTTAGGATCATTCTGGGAGTAAGAGAGGGGAGAAAAATCACTCCACGTGCAGAACAAAGAATTAAGACTACCAAGGACATCCTCTTGGAAATGGGAGCAGGGGGTTGCGCTTATCAAGGTGATTTCACGGCTCTGCGCCTCTGCCCGGCGCCTGGGAGGCACTTCCCAGTCCGGGTGAGGTTTGATTGTTGGCAGTTCCTTCCCCTCTGACATTCAGATTTGGAAAGTGGGAGGGAAGGAAGGAGCTGACCGAGGGCTGGCGCCCTTGACCCAAGCAGTGGAAGACTCGGCAGACTCGGCTGCCGTCCACGGGAAGGAGCGCCTGGGACGCGGGCGAGTGCCGTTCTCCTGCTTTCCCCTGAGCTGTTTGGAGGAAGAATTCAAGGTTCCTTTGCTGATGGTGACACAATGGGGACCCTGGTCACAAAGGTTCTGAGACCGGGGTGTCTCGGCACTTGCTAATGAAGGAGGGGCACAGGCTCAGGCACGCATTCTGCGCCCGGGGATGGGGGCTGCTGTGGCCAGGTTGCCACGGGCAGTACCTGGCTTTAGGTGAAGCTGACTGGCACAGGCAAGTGAGGAGAGGGCCTGAGAAGAGGGCCGGGGGATGGAGAGCCTCTGCAGAGACCCCCAGCGCAGCCTTGGCCACCCCGCTCCCACTGGCTGATGGCTGAAGAGACTCTGCACCTTTTCATGAGCACATTGACATCTGAATGTCCTCTTTGGAAAATGTGCATCTAGATCCTGGGCCCACTTGGCCATCTGGGTTTCCTGCTTTAGGTTCCTGAGACTGCGTTGTCAGGGTTCTTTTCATGATCTGAATACAAGCCCCTCATCAGCCAGTACCCTCTGCGAGTTGTCTTGTCATTTCTTTTACTTTCTTGTTTTTAGCTCAGCACTTTGGAAGAGTTATGTGGAACTGCTGTCCATCTTGGGGGCCATCCATGGGCCCTCTGGGCTAGAGGGACAGCAAGGGAAGAGATGCAGAAATAGGGATTCAGTGAAGAGGCTGGACAACGGTCTCTTGCATACAGATGGTGCTCAACCAGTGTTTGCTGAGCAATTGATTCTCCCCAAGCCCCTTGTCTTCACCCTTTCCTCCGTGACCCCTAATAACCCACCCTTCTGGGCAACCCCCTTTGCACCCACTCCTCACCTCCTGCCCCTACAGCCCCCACCACTGCCCCGCCACCTCCTCCCGAGGCCCTCAAGTCAGGGCTGTTCTGTGCACCACTTTGGATGACGGTTTTGGGCTCATGGAGGGCTATTTGCAGAACAAGGCAGGGTTGAAACCCAAGTATAAGGTCCGTTGCTGTCCGGGCTCCACACAGGGCCTTGGCCTGGGCTCTCCTCCACTGCCCCTCACAGTGGTTATGCTCCTGGGCCTGGGGCCTAGGCCCTGCATTTGCTGGCTCTGTGTCCAATGCTGAGCCCCGGGAGGTCTCGGTCCCTTGGTGTGGAAAGCGCGACAGTGCTTCTGCTCAGGTGGGTTCCATGCAGTCCCGGCCTGTGGCGTGGACTCTTCCAGCGCAATGCCCCGTCCTCCCTCTTCTCTCCTGCAAAAGGCTCCCAGGGTCTTTTTTCTGTGCTGGGGATTGAACCCAGGGCCTCCTCCCCTGCCGGGCGAGGGCTCTTCCACTGAGCTGCAGTCCCAGCCCAGTCTGTGTAACGTGGATGGAGCTGCAGCCGCGGGCCAGAAGCTGGCTCTACAGCGGTGATCGAACCAGACCCCAATCCTCACCCTCGTGCCTGACGATTCGGCAGAGGCAAAAGGCAGGTTCACAGATGAACAGTTAAGTCAAGTCAGGGGAAACGGGCTATGGAGCTGGAGAGGAGTCCTGAGGGAGTGGAGGCAAGCAGAAGGGACACTATGCTAAGGTGACGTTTGAGCAGACTGGGGCAGGAGAAGGCTGTGTGGATTGGGGAAGAGTTTCAGGCAGAGAGGAGAGTGCGTGTAAAGGTCCTGAGGTAGAAATGTGCTGGAGGCTCTAGAAAGCCCTGAGAGGCCAAGGGAGAGAGAGGCAGGGGAGGAGGGCAGAGAGGGAAGAGAGGCCAGGTCCCTGGGGCTTTGCAGGCCACATGAGAACTTTGCTTTTACTCTGGAATGAGGCAGAAGTTGGTGACAGAAAAACGTTATTTCATTAAGAGAGGAATCTAGGTCTCTGCCTTTGACTTCAGATCACAAAGTTTAAGGGAGAAGCCACTGCAGATGCAGGCTCCACCTCTAACCCTGGCCAGGGCCAGGAGGGCACTTCCTGAAGGGCGCCTGTCAACCTGCACTGGCCCCGCCTCCCACTGCAGGGCCCCTGGTCTGAGCTGGGCCTTTCAGAGTTGGCCCACTGGCTGCTAGTCTCCTCAGTGGTGTCCTCTGAAGCGAAACCATCTTAGATTCCAGGAGATACCGTCTAAAGTTTCTTCTGTGCTTGTGTTCTTGGTGTCACACCTAAGAAACCACTGCCTAAACACTGCCTACCGCGAAGCTTTAGGTCTGCGTTTTCTCCCAAGAGCTTTTTCGTTTTAGCTCTTACTTGTGGGAGTGCGATACGCTGAGCTGATTTTTGTATGCGGCAGGGGTCGGAGGCGGCTGCATCCCTCGGTAGGTGGCTGCCAGTTATGCTGTAGCATTTGTCGAAAGGTTATTTCTGCATTGAGTGGTCTTAGCGCTTTACCGAGTGGCTGTAAGGTCAGCAGTCATTTCTGACCCTCACGTCGGTTCTGTCCATCTGTACGTGTCTCCTGTGCCCGTACCCGCCGTCCTGAGTGTCCCAATGCTGAAGTCAGTTGGGGAATGAAGTTGGGAGGTGTCGGGGTCCTCCCTCGAACTACTTTCTTCTGGAGAGGGTTTTGGCAGGTCCTTTGAATTTCCATGTGCATTTGAGGACCTGCTTAACAGTTTCTGAAAATAAAATAAACTAGCCAGGATTTTTATGGGGTGGCACTGAACCCATAGATCATCTGGAGATGACTGACGTCTTAGCAACCCACGAATGTGAAGGTCCTTCCACGTATGTAGATCTCCTTTAAAACTGCTCAACAACGCGATTTCAGAGAAGTCTGGCACTTCTTTTGCACCGAGGGGAACTTTCTGAGACCAATTTCTTGGAGTGGAGAGGGCAGCAGATGATGGTGGGCAGCAGATGATGGTGGGCAGCAGATGTTGGTGGGCAGCAGATGATGGTGGGCAGCAGATGATGGTGGGCAGCAGATGTTGGTGGGCTAGGAAGTGAGCGGATGTGACAGCGGCTCGGCCAGTAAGAAACTTGCCGCTGTGGCGTGAACCTGGAGGGAGTGACTGGGACTCCTGAGAGGCACACGAGCTGCCAGAGTCGGTGGAGGAAGCACTGATCTGAGGGTCCCAGGCTGGAGCAGGCTCTATGGGGGCAGAGACACCTTCGGTCTGAGCCCATCCCCAGCAGCCCGGTTGCCATGGTGACTGTGGTGCGCTCTCCACCGTAGATGATGCTACCTGCGTGTCCTGAAATGGCAAGGCTGCCTAAAGTTAATTAGCCTATTTGGATGACAAATGTTGATCTTGGGCTGTGTCCAGCCGACGTCCTTGTATTGGTGAGGTGCAGGGGAGGGGAACAGGCGGTTCGTCCATTCCATCAGTAGCCCCCACACTCCGCGGCCCTTGTCCAGCCCAGAGCTGTCCATCTTCCTGAGACCTGCACGCTCATCGATCACGCTGGGAAACGTCCCCACGATCACCTGGCAACCTCCACCCGCTGCCCCCGCCGCGGGGCCTGCCAGCCCTCACAACTGTCCTACTGTGGGCAACTCCAAATCCGTGGCTGGCATCCACAGGGCAATTTCAATTTGCTTTCCTGCAGTTAGCGCCACAAAACCCCCGCAGCAGCTGGCCCCAGTGAAGCCAGCAACGTCCTGGGGAGGGCCAGCAACGTCCTGGGGAGGGCCCTGCAGTGATGGCAGGAAGGGCGGTGCCCGGGAGGGCGGTGCCAGGGAGCCTCCGATGCAGCAAGGAAGGGCAGCGGTGCGGAAGCTCAGGAGTGGCCGTTCTGCCTTCTGCCCTGGAGGAGAGGGTGGCCCTCCTCCCAGGGCACAGGAGGGGGCACGAGCAGGCATGTGCGGGGGACAGTGGCAGTGGGGTCATCGGGGTTGGGTGGGACTTTTCTGAAATCCTGGAGGTGTCAGAGCTTCCCGGGGGCGAAGGGACTATGAGGGGCACAGGGGAGGGGCAGGAGGATGGAGGGTTCCGGAGTCATGCACCTCTGAGTCAAAGGCAGGAAGAGCTCAAAGGCAGTTCTCAGGAGAGGAGTGGAATGAGCCCGAGGTTGATGATGTGCTGGGGGACAGGCTGGGGCTGGGGACAGCTGGCCCTGTGGCAGACAGGGTGGTTGCTCTCAGGGTCTTCCAGCCTGTAAGTGGTGTCCAGGTGGGGTCAGGATGTGGCCTCTGCACACCGACACTGCCCACAGCTAGCGGGCAGCCTCTTCTGCAAAACAGAACCATGCGATTGTTCTCCCAGGGACCTGAGAGTGATCTGATGTGTATTGTGCCTGGGGAAGAAAACACTTTCCATCAATGTCCCTCCTGCCACCAGGCTCCTCTACTTCTGGCCTAAAGCAGTCCTGGACGTCAGGGCCTCCCATCCCTGCCACCCAGGGGCTCGGCTCCCTGGGTCGTAGGTTCTGAGCTCCAGGCCCTGTGGCGGTGGGCCTTCTCCAGGCCTCCTTGCTTGGGCCTGGGTGAGCTCCATGCACTTGGCCCTGGGAGGGGCCTTAGCTCCCAGGCAGAGGCCTTGGAGGGTGGATCCAGTCACTGCAGGTGAGGCTTTTCTTTCCAGGGACTTTGGCAGTCGTCACGGGGCCAGGGCCTTGCTCTGTCTCGTGGCTGTGGACGGCGGGCGCCCTGGGTTTCTTTGCAGATGGACATTCTTCTCTGGCCTCTGTTGGGATGAGGGCAGCCTCCAGCGCAGTGGTGGGGTGGTGGAAGGAGATGCTGGCTTCCCGGGCGGCTGAGAGACACAGTGGGGAGGTGGGCAGGACGTCCTGGCTCCTCTGCCTGCTCATGTGCTGGCCGCCTGGCTTGGTCCTCGCCTGTAGACTGTGGGCAGCCCAGGGCCTGGTGGCTGAGCAGCTCAGGGAAGACTCAGGAGTCCCCAAGGCTGAGAGGCCGTCCCTGGGGTGCGGGACTGGTGGAGAGCCGTGTTCCCGAGGGGAGATGGGCACACACGAGTCTCCCCACCTCCACCTCTTGCCGGGGGTGGTGCTGGGCGGCTGTGGTCGGTGCACCGGCCTCTGCCGCTGTCTGACCTGCAGCGGGCTCAGGCAGGAGGCATTCACCTGGTGTCCCCCAGGTGGCTTGGGACTCGCCCCAGGGCACGACTGGTGGTCTTTGAGGCAGCCAGTTCCACTGAGGGTCCTCGCATCCTCCAGTGCAGAAGCGAGCAGAGTAAAGAGCACGGGCACGGGCCTCCGAGGGCCTCACCTCCTACCCAAGTGAGGCCGGCCGGCTGTGCGGGGCAGGCCAGGGGAGCTGGAGGCCTGGTTCCAGCTCTATTGCTCCCATCTGCCCCCTCCGCCGCCTCCTCCTGCCCCTCTGTGCTGACTCTCTGCAGTGCTGGGTCCACCAGCCCTGCCCAGTGCCCCTCTGGCTGCCTTATTAAGGAACGCTTCATATTCCTCTGGGTCTCCATGGACTCAGGCTGCAGGTGAGCAGACGCTGTAATTTCCCTCAGCCAATCAAGAGCTTCAGGGGTCCTGGGAGAGGATTCGAGAGAGGCTTCATGAACTAACACAGAGGCTGTTCTGGAGGGAACCCTCTAATTTGATAGTTAATGAAGTGGAGGCTCAGAGAGGTTAAGTTATTTGCTGAAGGATGCACAGAGAGCTAAGGTGAGCAGGCCTGGGGGCCCATACCTTTCAAGTTCCACCCAGGCTGAAGTTATGTGGGACAGTAACAGTCCCTGCCCATTAGTGAGCCAAACTTCTGATGACCTCAGGGGCATGACCCCTGGATTAAGCACAGCCTTGCACTGCTCTCTAGATTTGTGATCTGGTTCACAGTTATTTCTAGCATCAATTTTTCTCATGTGTGGACTTTCCCCTTCGTCCTCAGTGCAGCCATGTGGCCAGCAGAGGGCGCTGGTGGCTAGGTTCCCAGATGACATAATAAATGAGCCCTCCTAAGAGTTTCTGCAATGACAGGGCAATCAGGGCTCATTTGGAGAAGAAAAGATTGAGCTTTCTTTATCCAAATCACCCGACCTGCTAAAAAGGATGTATAATACATAAGGATTCAGAGTGATTAAAATCCTTATGAATTTAATCAGAAATTCACAGTTAACCACTATTTGCTTTGGTGCAAATTGATGTGGAATAACAATCATGTGTTTCTGCAATTTTTTTTTTAACTTGTGGGAAATTTGCTGGTGATTTGCGGGGGGAAGCATGGGGGAGGGGGCCATTGAAAGGAGAGAAAAGAAGGAAGGAAGCAATCGAAGAGGGCTCCCCGGAGGCCCTCGGTGCCTTAGCTGGCTGTTGACGGCCTTTGTTCGTGAATTTCAGGCCTTTTGTTATTTATTATTATGAACAATAGGAAATCCTAATAATAACCCCTGTGTGTGCCATTGGCTGCCTCGGAGCCGAGTTCTCTAAATTGCTTCTTCCCTCTGGACCCTTGTTTGGGTTGGAAATCCCTTCCCCCTTCTTCCACATTTTCTTCTGAATCATGCCTCAGGATCCGACCTCAGGATCCGACCCCTGGACCCTTCCACAGGCAGACCAGCTCCTAGGGCAGAGACAGACCATGCACCCCCACTGCCTTTCTCCCTGGACAAGGCAAGGTTTTCTGGAAAAGTGGAGGTGGGACCCCCACCCGGGGCCCTTGGAGGAAGGCAAGGTCAGAGCAGGGAACATGGAGAAGTCCTCACCATCTTTTCATTGTTGGGGACCTTTTTGTAGAAGGTTTTCTCTGCGTCTTCGATCCAAACCACGGATGGCTGGAGCTGCCTGGCCACCTGCAAAGGACACAGAAAAGCCCTGGAGGTGAGAGCCTCCCCTCTCGGGGTGCGTGGGGTCTCCCCGCCAATGGCGGGCTTGAGGCCCTGGACAGTGGGGTCGCTGGGCCGGGCGCCCTGGGGTGAGCCCACCCGCACTCCATTGCATGCCGTGTTCACCTGCCTGCGGCTCAGACCCGTGCACAGCAGGGCAGGCGTGCACAGCAAGGCAGGCGCCGGCCTCCCTGCACCCTAGCAGCTGTCCTGATGGAGACACTGCCCAGGACCCCGCGCCTCCTCTCCATTCGGTTTGCAATAAACCCATGACTCTCAGCTGAAGACGATGGCAACCAGCCGTGAGTCTTGATGCCAGCCCACTCGCCACCCCATTTTCATTCAAGCCGGCCTGCCAGGAGAAAACCCGCGCAGCACCAGGGCCCGTCACGCTCCCCGCATCTGCATCCGGCTGCGCCTTTGTGGCCACAGTCTCCCTGGAAGGCAGCTCCGAGTCTCTCCAGGCCATGCAGGGCTTTGCAGTGGAGCTGGGGCCGGACTGACCTGTGGCCCGTGAATAACTGCATACACCTAACAATCTCTTCAAACGCCCCCACGAGCGCGGAGCTCAGGTATTTTTGCAACAATTTGTGCTTTGTGTGAAATCGCGACAGATAAAAGCTGTTTCAGCCACAGCGAGCACAGCGCAATGGCCTCCTATTTATATATTTCTTAAAACATCATTCGGCAACAGGGGTGATTCTGAACCAAGGCGGCCGTTCAGTGGGTGAGGGAAAAACGCTGGGGACACGGCGGCTGTTTTCCCGGCATTGTGTACCAAGTCGGGATGGGAAGCAGATTATGCACCCTCTGGGACAGAGTGGACAGTGACTGAACGGGACCCTTGTGTAGCACGCCGCCTGGCTGGCTGCTCCACGGTGCCCAGCATGCCGGACGGGCACAGGGAAGGCAGCGCTGGTCAGTCAGTGCTGGGATGTGAGCCGGCGGACCCAGAGCCAACAGCTCAAGGAGTCAGAGTCTCCGACATTAATCCCAGTCCCCAAGGCGCTGTGGGTGGTGACCCTAGGGAGCCCTGGCAGTTGGTGATTGAGCAGGTGTGTGCCGGGCATTGGGCACATGTGCCGTAGCTGTCGGAGCCAGCATGCACCTGACACTGCCTCCTCCCCTGGGGACTTCAAGTGCAGGTGACATTGTTCATCTTTAGCTCAACCCCACAGAGTGCACGCTGTTGCCTTCACCCTGCTCACAGATGGGGACTCTGAGGCTCGAGGACCTTCTGAAGCAAGGGCTATGAAGAGGCAGAAGCAGGACTCAGAGCCAGACTGATGGGGCCCTGCCCACGGCCATCTCACCTGCACCCACTAAGAACGCGGGGCAGCTCCAGAGCGCACTGTGGCTGAGCTAAGATGGAAATACCTCTCCCTGAGCCCAAAGCTCCGCTCTTTTCCTCCCTCCTACCCGTGCGCCTGCTGAATTTGGGGTGGCCTGCATTTGTGGGTGCTTTCTTTTTGGCCTGGACATTGAGAGTTTATTTTTGGCATCAGAGTCTGCAGAGGCACTGCCTCTCTCCTGGATTTATTGGTTAGAGAAAAGGCTACATAAATTGGACGGGACTGCGGTGGAGACGGATTGGAGCCATCTGTGTGCTGGCCCCTGCCGTGGCTCTTCTCTCCAAATTCCAAGCGTGTGCCGCCGTTGTGGCCACCCTCTGACAGGGTGCTGCTTGGCATGATTTCCTAGTTGGGGACGGTGTTGCCTAGCAGCAGGTTCAAATTCTCAAGCTGATGCCTCCCCAGGCCACCTTGCCCTGGCGCTTTCGTCAGTAAGATGGACACAATGCCCACTGCAGGATCAAGGGACTCCCTCCCCCTTCCGGATCCCTCATCTGTGATCTTTTATTTAATAAAATCAGCTCTCGGATATGTCAAAGCAACTTATTAAGCGATTCTCCAGCTTAAACATTCCATGATTCTCGGAGGAAGGTCGTGCGTGAAATACAGATGAAGAGGCACCTCAGAGCTGGACGCCCTAAGTCCTGGGCATTGTCCAGGCCTGAGAGGAACAGAGAGGAAACGGGGGCTGCCGTGGCCTTGGGAGGAGGGAGCTGGTCCACCTGGGTCACATCCAGGCTCTCCGCTCTCTGCCAGTGCGGCAAGGTCACAAAGAGGCTCAGGGTGTGGGTTCTGCCCGAGCAGCATCGCCCCAGCTGGGAAGCCACCAGAGGACACCCCGTCAGAGGGCCACAGTGCCAGGGAGCGTGGGTAGCAGTCTGTGGTTGGTATTTGGAGAAAAGTGACAGCTGCAGACAGGGACAGTGGTGGGCAGGAGCCAGGGCAGAGGCGACCAGGGTAGAGGTGCAGCCCCTTCCTCACCCCAGTAGCTCAGTGGCTCTCGTTAGGGTCACCAGGAACCCCCAGAACACGAAATCCTGTCCTAGCCCATCCAAAGAGCTGCCTCCTGCCAATCCCTACGTGACCCTGCCTAAGTCGCAGAGGTGGCTGTGTGCTCCACTCAGCTCAGGTGGACCCCAGCTTCCTCCAACACAGGCTGCCCCCAGTCGGCCTCCCACTGAAGGTCAAAGCCTCCCTGCCTCCAGCCCCAGAAGTAAATAAGACAATCAGAGGCTCCACTCACAAGGTTTTATTAACCTTCTCAGAAAAAAGATACATTATAACAACAAAGGCAGAATCTTATCTTGGTCCTTCTTAAACTCTTAGTACTATGTTTCACGTGAACAATGGTCTCTTGTCCTAGGCTCCACTGTTCAGGACAGTGGGCCGTCCTGTCCCATGTCCATTTGGCAGGCAGAGGACTGTCCCTGCTTCATTCCCCTCAGTCCGGCTTTCCTCAGTGGCATTTGCAGAGGTGAGAGCCCAGTACTGCAGCGTTGCTCTTCTCTTTCTGCTCTCAGCGGAGCAGCTGCACGTGAACTTGAAGCGCAAGAGGCTTAAGCACTTGGGCCGCCCTGGTACGGTGGTGGATTCCTTCCCCTGCCGTCCACCCATGGCGAGGGCACACAGGGACATCGGGGTGAGGGGTTTGCGAGGGCTCAGCTGTTACCCACGGATTGGAAGACATTCCCAGGAGTGTCCCCGATGACGCTGATCCGGCCACTGTCATGGCAGAGTGCTTCACACCCAGGACACCGCTTCTGCCCTCATTGGCCACCTGCCACATGCTGGGCCTAGAAGTCCCATGGCTTCTCCCCATTCCAGCTGGGGTCACTGCGCAGAGCATCGCGAGGGCTGAGTAACGTGCCCGACCAGCACCGGGGCAGTGCTGGGGCCCGAGGGGGACCTGTCTGCCTGACCCCCGCGTCCACATTGCTGAGAAGCGTTCCACTGAGGCGCTGCCGTGGAGACAAGACCTGTGTCCTCGCCATCCTTCACCCCAGCAGGAAGGCCACGGAGACCTTCCCTGTCCTGTCCTCGAGAGTGGGAGTCTCGGGTTTTCCTGTCCCTGCCCCCTGTCCCAGGGGAGCTGCATGGCGAGTGGCCACAGGATTCCTGCTGACCATGCCCAGTTCTGGAGAAGCACAGAAGACTGGGCAGTTGAAGGATGATCCACGGACAGAGGCTGCTGTCCTTGGAGAAGGGAGACTCAGGGCCAATTGGATGTTGTCCAATAGTTAAAAAAAACTGCCCTGGGAAGAAAGACTGGCGGCCCCACATCTGGCCTGGATTGTGGAGTGAAGGCCACTCTTCCACGGGGGGAGCTTGAGGCCAGGCACTGTGTGAGGAGCTGGGGCACAGAGATCAGTGATGGAGGCCGCTGGCTTCAAGGGGCCCTCGACTGCCTGGGAAGGTAGTGTCAGCAGGGGCCACCAGCGACAGAGAGGGACCCTGGGTGAGGGAGCCCGGGGTGAGGGACCCTGGGTGAGGGAGCCCTGGATGAGGGACCCTGGGTGAGGGACCCTGGGTGAGGGACCCTGGGTGAGGGAGCCCTGGGTGAGGGACCCTGGGTGAGGGACCCTGGGTGAGGGAGCCAGGTCGGAGACTGCAGACAGACAGACCTTCAAGGTCACCAGAGGGCCACAGCCGTGCCTGGGCACTGGATGAGGTGTCCAGCGTGGGCTCGCGGGCTGCTTCTGGAGGAGGAGGCTGTGGCCCTGCCGCCGCTGCACCCTGCAGGCTGTGGAGACCTGGGGAGGCCTTGATCAGGAATCTCCATCCCCTCTGTTCCGGGAGACCCCCGCGGGGACTGTGTGAGGAGCTGGGGTGGTGGGTGGGTGCTGGGGACTCGTGGGCCTCCAGAGGGTGGGTCTGAAGGCAGGGACGTGAGCTGCCAGGGCTCCTGGGGGACAGCAGGGAGGCAGAGTGGACACCAGGGAGGCTCAGAATCCGCTGGATGTGGCAAGAAGTGGGTGCCTGGAGGAGGAGGAGGTGGGAGCGCAAAGGGACCGGTGGAGAGGAGACGAGGAGTGAGCTGGGTCGCTGCGGGCCCGGGGGGCTGGGCAGGTGGGGAGCACTGGTGGGTCCAGGTGAGAGGAGTGGAAGGGTAGTGGGTCGGGGGGTGGGGAGCACATGGAAGGCTCTAGAGTTCGGACCGGGTCCTGGGAACCCCCAGGAAGCCTCTGGTCATTGCAGAGTGCTTCACACCTGGACACAGCTTCTGACCTCACTGGCCACCTGCCACATGCTGGGCCTGGAAGTCCCATGGCGTCTAGACCCAGGAGGGGCGTCTAGGCTGGGAGGGGGAACAAGGGGCACAGGAGAGAGAGCCGCCCTGGAGGCCAGGAGAGGTCAGAGCACAGGGCGGAGGTGCTGGTGGTAGTGGGCAGTGCCAGTGGCTGGGTCATGAGGAGGCCACTGGTGTCCTTGGCGGGAGTGGAGGGGACAGGAGCCAGATGACAGGCTGCTGAGATGTGAATGGGACAACCAAAGAGCAGGGAGCATTCCTTCAGAAAGACGGGCCGAGCCACCCCGGGTGGTGGCCTGAGAGGCCTTTCCAGGGACCCAGGTGAGTTCTGCTCCAGGCGCAGGGCAGGAAGGGTGTGGAGATGGCGC